ACTGCAACATCTTATATGTAATCAAGCATGAAGTTTGTGTATTGATAGTGACCTTGAAGTCGTAACCTCATTATAGATGCTGGTGCCACTGGAATTACTGCACATCGGCTGATAACTGACAAATGAAGTTTAATGCAGATAAATGCAAGAGAAGTAAAAAGAGGAAACGCACGTACTCCAAGGATATGATAGAACTAGCCAAGGGGAAGACCCCAAAAATGTGGTGTACAATGTTTGCTTCTCGTTCTCATTCGTTGAATTTTCAGAGTGACTGAACTATTTTGTCTACACTCCAAAGAATATTTGTAGTGATCTTTTAGAAAGTTTTAATTTCTGTAATATGCATAACTTGGATTATCAGCAGTATGTGATGGTGAGCCTGAGTGCAGATCAGTTTACCTCAAGTAAACATGTCCTATAATGTAATAATAATCCTTACATTTGATATAGCGCCTTATCACAGCTTACCACAGACATCTTGATGCACTTCACAGAATATACTGTGAAGTGAATTGACTATATTTTGTGGGCGAAATATGGTAGCCAATTGTGCTATCACATCTTCGAGACATCTCAAAGCCTTCACGGAATATACTGTAAAATTAACTGACTGTATATTTTGTGGGCGAAATGTGGTAGTCAATTGTGCACAGCAGTATCCCACAAACAGTGGTGGATTGAAGTGACCAATTTAGTATCATTTTTTTGTGAAGGAATTATTTATTACCCCTGAAAAAGAGATCCGCTAATCAATTAACAAACTCCTAGGTAAACAGAGGTGTGTGGAATAGGGAAACTTGCCTAGTGTTTTGCCCTGCCGGGAATCGAACCCAAATCCCGAATGCTCTAACCATGTAATTGACTTATGACTTGGAGGTACAATATTATTGTAACTCACAACTTTAATGCAAGCACTTTAACCTGCACAAATCCATTCCATAACTATATGTAGTCATTTTTTTCATTTCTACATCTCAATTGGTCTGATCAGAGGAGTTTCATAGAATTATTGAAGTCAATATTTAAAAATTGGACCCAGGTGTATACATAATGTATAGTTCTACCATCAGAATCTGAATGTCTGAGCTCATAGCTTTCACTTAAATAGAAATCATGGAATTTCCAATTGTTTTCTAAAGCTTCGATTCCCTCAAAGCTCTGTTACTATGCATTCACATGAATTTCTTCTTCATTTTGCTGAAATATGCTGTTCGCTGAATAGATACAGTTCACTGAATGTAATATTCAGAGTAATTCAACAGCTCATTGCATTCTCAAAACTGCAAACTTGCTGAAATTTACTGAGATGCAGTGGGAACCCAAGCATGATGGAAGATGGTGTGGGGAAGGAGTAGAATGGAGATGATAGAAGGTGCAGTCAGAGGTGGGTTTTCATAGCAGAGGGGGAGGGGTAATGTGGAGGGATTTGGGATAAGGGTTCCAGAGAACTGGGCAAAGAGGCTGAAACCTCGTCTACTAATGGTGGGGCAGAGGGAGTTTAGGGATGTGCCTGAGATAGCAGAGTTGAGGGGGTGGACAGGAAAGTTGGTCTGCAGAAGGCTCCAGGAGTAAGATGGTGGCAATGACTTGGACGCATTTAAATTTAGAACAGGAGTCTTGAAATCAGCCCACGAGGGAATAGGGAACCAGGAGAGCCTGGTGAGAAAATAATAATGATCCTTGCATTTGATATAGTGCCTTTCAAATCAGAACTGATAGGGATTTGATCTTTAAAAGACATCATGGGCTGAATGGCCTTCCATGCTGTAAATTTCTATGGTTCTGTGAAAGAGATCAAGGAGTAGGATTGACATCACTCACCATGTCAGAGTATGTCTAGTATATCCTTTAGAGGGCAGCAACATGTTAGTGTAGGTGGAGGACTCAGACAGTTATTTCAAAGAGAATTTTAACCTCCTGTTAAGCTAAATGTTACATACACTGCATTAACTTTGTGCTGCCTGGTTGGTGGACTTCCTCAATGTTCGTATTTTGGTCTTCAATTTCTCTAACCAACAGTATGTGCAAAACAGTCCACTCATCCCTAATCATGCATGGGCACTGCCTGCAAGGTTCCCACTCACCTCTTTCTTGCCAGAGTGATGTACATTGTATCGCCACCTCCTCTCAGGCTTCCTCTAATCTGCACACCAGATATGCTCCATAACCAAATTCATTGTTACAACTAACATGAATAATAGCTATTTGGGCGGGGTAACAGAGAGCAACCAGCACCCATGCAAATGCACCTCAACAAAAGAGGCTGGGCCCTGTGCTAGTAGGGAGAAAAATAGGGGAAAAAATATTGGACACACTACATTTTTTACAAACAGTGGTTGTTTTTTGGGTGTCTGACACATGAGGAAACCCATCCGCATGCCTAAGAGTATCCAAACCAAGCTGAGATTTCCATGCATCCCACCTACACATGGAAATCCCAGGGACAGATTGTTGGAATGGAAAGCGCACTCTGTCCGTGGCGGGACACCTCCTGCTTACCAATTTCCGGCAAGTATTAGGTGCAGGTTGGGAAGAGCAACGACTCCAGAGTGTGTGTTGGGATACTGCAGGAGTCTAACCAGCTAAAACTATATAGCTTGCCATCGATATCACTGTCGGGCAAACTTTCCCACTGCTTGTCCAACTAGGACCACCCTATCCATTAGGGCTTTGGTTTCCCAGTGAAGGGGAGCTGAGTGGGATGACTCCCTGCCTCCAATGACTGGTCTGTCCCTCCATGTGCTACGAGTGAGCTGATGAGTCTTACTGTTTGTACTCCATAGTGCAGCTTGTACTGTGGACTACAAACAGTGGCGACAGTCTGCGATACGGTCCTTCTGCTGTTCAGGAGTAAATATTAGTTGCAGTGAGTAGTTCACCGCACATCTCCTGAGCACATCACGATTTCCGATTTGCTGTGGGAGTGAACGCCCCCCTTCCCTCTCAATCATCTGCGTCTGGTCCACGCCACAACTCCTGCCCCCCCCCCCCCCCCCCCATCACCCCCCCACACCCATCCCCGAAAGGTCTGCGTGAGCCTAACACCAGCAGCAGTTCACCAGGTTTGAGAGGCTGCGCTGCAACTGGACCCGTTCCAGTCACGACCGACACGTGCAGCACAAGGGGCAAAGTCACACTAAAGTCACAGCGAAACGATCTCACAAACAAAAGGCGAAGATGATTTCCCTGTCACATCCACAGTGCCAACTTCAAAGAACAAAGCTGATCGCTTTGCAAAAAATGACACTTCTCTCGAGCACTCTCCCTCCCCCCCCCCTCTCCCCCCTCCCCCCCCCTCCCTCCCCTCCCCCCCCCTCTCCCTCCCTCCCCCCTCTCTCCCTCCCTCCCCCTCCCTCCCCCCCCTCTCCCTCCCTCCCCCCTCCTCCCCCCCTCCCCCCTCTCCTCCCCCCCCCCCCCTCCCCCTCCCTCCCCCCTCCCCCCCTCTCCCTCCCTCCCCCCTCCCTCCCCCCTCTCCCCCTCTCTGCGGATCTCTCTTTTTTAGCCCAAGTTGCGCGTTGCGCTGCAACTCTTCGGAGCGATTTCCGCAAACAGTTTCGCGGTCCATCGCCACGAAACCTCTTTTACCAACGTCCGAGAGGCACTTTGCGGATTCCAACCGTCCGGATCCGAGCGAAACGCAATCTGCAGAAAGGGAAGGAGTGGAGCGGTCGGTCACCGCCCCCCAGTAAAGCCCCCGACACTGTACCACCGAGTGCTCCTCGAATGCACTGAGACCTTATCTCGCGAACTCAAGTCAAAGGTCCACCTGTACCCCAAACGCAAACGTTTACTGAAAAGCGCAATAAAACCGAACACCGAGAGAGGACCGCGACACCATCTGCATTTTAAATGGAAACACAACGCATCCCCTTTTTTTTTTGGGTGGGGGGGGGGTGGGGGGGTGGGGGGGGGGGGATGGGGGGGGGGGGTGGGGGGGGATGGGGTGGGGGGGTGGGGGGTGGAGGGGGGGGTTTGGTTAATGAAGTTGAGAGCTTTTGCAGAATCTGAGCGAAGAGCAACGCTGCAATGCACATGAAAAAAAAACCCCGAACCACCAAATAGGTCGCGAAAAAAAAGTCGGGGACGGGGTTGGGAAACCCGAGGACCAGAGGGGGAGGAGGCGTTCCAAGTGCGCGACGGAGTGACTTAAACTGCGCCCCCAAAAGTCACGACGTTGCAGTTCGTTTCGCAACACACACACAAACACACACACACACACACAGCCCCACTCACACACACACACACACACACACACACAGCCCCCTCACACACACACACACACAGCCCCACTCTCTCACACACACACACACACACACACAGCCCCACACACACACACACAGCCCCACTCTCACACACACACACACACACACACACACACACACACACACAGCCCACACACACACAGCCCCCCCCACACACACACACACCCACACACACACAGCCCCACACACACACCCACACACACACAGCCCCCCACACACACACACACCACACACACACAGCCCCACACACACACCACACACACACACACACAGCCCCACACACACACACACACACACACAGCCCACACACACACAGCCCCCCACACACACACACAGCCCCACACACACACACACACAGCCCCACACACACACAGCCCCCACCACACACACACACAGCCCCCCCCAAACACACACACACCCCCACAACCCACACCCCCCCCACACACACAGAGCCCCACACACACAGCCCCCCCCCCACACACACACACGCGGGAGAGACCCGCGTCCTTTACGCGTCCTCCACAAACGCGCTCTCCGACCGCTGTCCTTTTTGGAGCTCTTTTTTTTTACGCGTCGCGCTTCGACTCCGGTGGGGGGGGGACGGGGGGGGGGGACGCGCACTCCATGCGGACCAATGTGAGCCTGACCCGGGGCTGTGGGGCAGAGCCTCCCCCCCTCCGCACCCCTCTCGCGATACACGGGAGCCTTATATTAGATGTCGGGGGGTGTGGGGAGAGCATCGCCCACGTCCTGAGCCGCTGCGGAGTGTCGCTGCAGAACGCGCGGACTGGTCACTGGCACCGCAGCTCCGGGCGCCCTCTCTCTCTCTCTCTCTCACACACACACACACACTCCCCCCACCGCAGCACAGAGATGTCTGACTACGCGATCAGTTTCATGAAGGACTTCCTGGCCGGCGGGGTGGCCGCTGCCATCTCCAAGACCGCAGTGGCGCCCATCGAGAGGGTCAAACTGCTGCTGCAGGTGAGGAGCCACACTTGGACCTCACGAGTTGTCCAGGCAGTCGTTTTTTTTTTTTTTTGGGGGGGGGTGGTGGTGTCTGGGTGTCTTGGCCAAGAGTTTTCTCGTGGGTTAACGCAAATAATAATAATTCATGATAATAATTCATAATAAAAAATAAAGCAAAGAGACTAAAGGAAGGCAATAATATTAATAATAATAATAATAATCCTTGCATTTGATATAGCGCTTTTCACGTCAGGAGGACGTCCCAAAGCGCTTCACAGAACACACTGTAAAGTCAATTGACTGTATATTTGTGGGCGAACGCGGCAGCCAATTGCACACAGCAATGTCCCACAAACAGTCGTAGATTGAAAATGACCAATTTATTATTGTTTTTGGTTTTGGAGGGATCATTATTAGGCTCTGTGTGGAGTAAGGAAACTTGCCCAAGGTTTCGCCCTCTGCCTGGAATTGAACTCAGGTCTCTCACTTGAAAAGCGAGTGCTCTAACCACTGAGCTACAGGTCTCCACAGAGTGCAACAGAGGGATGAACGGAGTTCAACTGTGAAGTTGACTGAAAGATCTTGAGTCCCAAAGCAGCGCAAGGCTATATAAAGAAAGCGGTGGGGCTTTTATTGAATAACTGGATAACTTCCCATGGTCTGTTATTAGAATCATAAATGCGTCCTTCTTGTAACCGACCCGTAACCTCCAGCAGCTGCCGTGCAGTTTCTGCAAACAATTTACAGTGTTTCAAGATGGAATTTCGTTTAACTTATTCAAATCAGTAAAAGGTTACGTGGATCATTTAGTAACCGGTCCTATGTTGGGCGCCAGCAGATTGCGTTACGGTCCGCAGTGGTACGAATTTGTGGTTTGTACAGTAGAAAGTGAACAAAACCTTTGCAACATTTCCAATCAGCCCCAATAGAGAGCGGTGAGGGTCCTCTTTAGGGTTAAGCGCCTTAGAAGCAATTTTACGAGAGGCTGTTGAACGGGAGCTTGCGGTTGGATTCATATTTGTTAATGTACAATTTTTCTTTGGTCAGAATTAAGTTTCCTTTTCATTTGAAAACATTTTATTTCAAAGTTGTGCCGATGGATTGACGCATTCGTCACGGATATGTATCATTTATACAAAACGATTCCCATGATCCTGGGCTAGAATGCACCCTGGCTAGAAACTTAGGCGTTTTGCAACACAATAATAATAATATATCCTTGCATTTGATGTAGTGCCTTATGTCGTTGAGATGTCTCAAAGTGCTTCACAAAATATATTGTAAAGTGGATTGACTGTGTATTTTGTGGGTGTGATGTTGAGATACATTGATTATTATTATTATTATTATTATTATCTGTTTCTGAATTGAAACTTTTCACATTTGGGAATCTTGTTCCTTACTGTGTTATTCACAGCCAGGGTCTTTTTAATCTCATTTTAAGGGCGAGGAAATAATCTGTGCACATCAGCCGGGTGCACTGATTCAGTTTATCGCTGGACTGAAGAGGTACAATGACTCAACAGATTGTAATTCACTAACTGGTCGAATCACAATGGGGCTGATCATTGGCAGCGTTTTATTCACCTCACCTTATTTGTATCAGAACAGGCAGCTGCATTATTTTGTATATGTAGTAATCATAATAATCCTTGCATTTGATACAGTGCCTTATCGTGTCTTTGGGACGTCTCAAAGAGTTTCACCGAATATACTGTAAAGTAACTGACTGTATAATTTGTGGGTGAAACATAATTGTGATGTTCAGGTTCGGATACTGTAGAATACCAGTACATCAAACTTGACTTTTAGTAATATTTTCCAAACATTTGACCTGCTGTTTCTCTGCCCCTATCACCTCTCGTCACCACTTTTCAATGAAATCTTATCTTTGGGGCTAAGCAATAAGGAGGAAGGATTCAATTGGCGCATGCTCAGTTTGCTTCCATATGCAATTTAAAATAGCTTTAAGTGGATCCATTGATACATTGCCAATTCATCTACAGTATTTCCAAACGGTTTTATAGAAAATATCATTTTTTTTCAAAAAAGTGAGGGAATAATATGTTCTATATTGGTGGAATCCAGCTTTGTAGACTGAGCCACTTGTTCTTGTACATTGCTGCATCTCCAAAGCACCAAACCTGGCTCAGTTGGTAGCACTCTTGCCTCTAAATCGGAAGGTTGTGTGTGGGTTCAAGCCCCAAGTCTGGACCTTCAACTCACTTAGTCTTGGCTGACACTCCAATAAAGTGCTCGGTGTGCTCTGTATTGTAGGAGGTGCCTTCTTTGGGGTGAGATGTTAAACCAACATCAGCTTTGCCTGTTCAGTCAGATGTCAAAGACCCTCACGGTACTATTGGCAAAAGAGAGGGTATTCTCCTGGTTTTCTGAGCAACACCCCAACCGCCCTCCCCCACCCCACCCCCAGGTAAAATTGGTCATCCATTTCAGGGCTGGTTGTGGGGCATTGCTATAACACACAAACACACACAGCCGCTACACTTGACAATACATTCTGTGAAGCTCTTAAAGATGTCCTAACTTGAAAGGCTCTTTACACTAAATGCAAAGAATTGTTTTATTATTATAGTGATAGTATATTATAGTATTATTATAGTGATGCAGTAATAGGGAAAGTGAGTTTCAGCTGGACCTAAGACAACCCACAAAATACACTGTCAATTCACTTTACAGCATATTCTGTGAAGCGCTTTGAGACGTCTCAACAATGTGATAAGGCACTATGTCAAACACAAAGGTTATTATCATTGTAAGGTAAGATGATGATGTTATTGAGTTTTCTTGTCTTTTGTTAACCCTGTCAGGTCCAGCATACCAGCAAGCAGATCACAGCAGAAATGCAGTACAAGGGGATCATAGACTGCGTGGTTCGGATTCCCAAGGAGCAAGGATTCATCTCCTTTTGGCGCGGGAACCTGGCCAACGTGATCAGGTATTTCCCCACCCAGGCTCTCAACTTCGCTTTCAAGGACAAGTACAAGACAATTTTCCTGGGGGGAGTTGATCAGAAAAAGCAGTTCTGGCGTTACTTTGCTGGTAACCTGGCGTCAGGAGGGGCGGCTGGAGCCACTTCCCTGTGCTTTGTGTACCCGCTGGACTTCGCCAGGACCCGGTTGGCAGCTGATGTGGGCAAAGGCGCCAGCGAGCGAGAGTTCACCGGTCTGGCCAACTGTCTGAGCAAGATCTTCAAATTGGATGGCCTGAAAGGGCTGTACCAGGGCTTCAGCGTCTCTGTCCAGGGGATCATCATCTACCGGGCCGCTTATTTCGGAGTGTACGACACTGCCAAAGGTAAGCAGGTCATCACAGGCAGGTAATGTGCTGGCAATGTGGGAGGGGGTGGGGGGGCTCACACTACTGCCGTCTTAATGTCTGTGTAAAAACAGTGATCTTCACCAAGAAAATGTATTTGAGAAGTTGCAAAAGGACTCCTTGAAGTGATCGTATGATCTCTATTCACTCAGGCACAACATGAGGATGGAATATTATATTTTTTGTTAGGCTTCCCTATGTGTTTTGAATAGAATTGGGTTTATTATGCCTCTGTATACTTTAATCTTAGGATCTGCACTTTGTTCATCAAATCTCATAAGGTTTCCCAAAAGTGAGTGATTAACGCGAGTGTGAGAATTGGGTCCATTGCCCCAATATATTTATGTTTTTTATGTGATTCGCTAAATAACTGAGAGGAAAACGTTAGCAGCGATCGATTGCAGTTAAACTCTGTCTTGAGTTTTTGGCATTTGGAAATGTAAATGTGACTACATAGCTTTCCTAAAAGGTTGCAGGAATAGATGGTAGACACAGGAGATGAGATATTTTCAAGACTTTCAATTTACGCCTAGTATTGATCTCGTTGAAAATATTCCATTGCCAAGTTAACCTATATTGGTGTGTTTAGATGTGTGTTGCAAATGATTAACGTCTAAAGTTACTCATCTCCATCCCAAGAAACAAAACAAGTCGCACTTTGTTGGGTGTGCAATTCCACTGGCAACAAAATGTAGCAACTTTGACAAAATTTGTCTTTATAAGAAGAAACTCCCGACACAGCATCCACTTTTCTGTCAGACCTTAGCGGCAAGAACAATCTGTGTGTCTAAACGTGTGAGTTAGACATGTATCTACCTGGTCTGGGTGGGAGGTCAATGGAAGCTCAGCAGGTACTGCCAGGTGTTGGAAACTTTACAAATTCATGAAAAGTTTATGTTCTGCTCTTGATCCGATCAGACAGCCACGTTACCGTTTTATTTGTGCATTCGAGTAAAGCCTATTCAGAGTGAAAAAAGATACCGGGGTGAGTGAGTAGTCATCTGATTGATATAAGTAGCACAGCCGTGCAACTGAAGAGAAGCGAGTGGCTGAGGTCAGGGTGTCAGTTTCACTCATGTTCTCCAGTGCACAGAGCCGAGCTAGGCAATAGTTTACTGGGTGAGAGAGAGGCAAGAGGAAACTGAATCCAAGCGGCCTTTTCCCTTCACCTGTCCATGTCTATCCATCACTAGATCCATTTCTTATTTCATAACAGCCAAAAATTATAGCATTATTTATAACATGCATTGCAGCTGAAGGTGATAGATCAATACACGGGCTTACTGAATGGGACATTAGGTTTTCGAGTTTTTATGGTCATGTTGTGGCCATTTGTTTGACATCAAAACCCATGGCTAATAACGATACACTTAACTTGGAAGAATTAGTATTTGCTATGTCGGGCTTTGCACCTACAGGAATGATGCCGGATCCCAAGAACGTGCACATTTTCGTGAGCTGGATGATCGCCCAGTCTGTGACTGCAGTTGCTGGTCTTGTGTCCTATCCATTCGATACCGTCCGTCGTCGTATGATGATGCAGTCAGGTCGTAAAGGAAGTAAGTATCATACATCATTATTGTTTTTATGTTGATCTCTTCTCTTGACCAATATAAGGATTGCGTATTAGGGCTGCTGTATGTAGTTGTAATAATGATAAGTTTAAGGTTTAATTTAAAATATCCTTTTTATAAAAAAAGTTGTACGTCCAATTTTTCCCCTAGTCCCTCACCACTGGCATAACCTCCCCAGCCACCTCTTGTTGGGGTGCATCTGGTCATCACTGACCAGTCTGAACTCTCCCCACCTGGTTGCCATACACACGCCCAACCAATAAAGGGTACTGAAGAGGGAGCAGGAACCAGCAAGGGCCAGGATTTAAATAGGGAGCTCCCAGTTTATAAGTTGCAGCTCTGTCCACTATACCATTGGAGCAGCCGGTAAAATATTAAGGAATCTGGTCTCTGTCCATATTTTAAATTGTGCCTATAAAATCTTCCATTGCCATGAATCCTGTTCTCCATCAGATGCCTTTTAAATTTCCTTGTTATGCCTGTATGGAGGATATACCTGACCTCTCAATGTTAGGTGCCTTCTCATTTGCATTGCCTTTTGGATTCAGGGAAATTGCTTCATGGGAATCATGTCTTTGGTGATGTTTATCTCCACACGAGCCACCAAATTTAATTCTATTCTCTCGTTTGCTGCTCATTGCCTTTCATTTTCTTTTTCAAGCATTTCCCTTTCAGTGACATTGTGCATTGGAATACTGACACAACGTGTTGTGTCACCACGCACCAGTCTTGTGACTATCATAAGTTATAATTGTTTCACTTAAGAGCATTTAGAGNAAAAAAAGGATTCCCATATATTTAATATGGGAGAGTAAAAAAAATAAATCATTTTATTTTGGATGAGCCGGGTGTCGGAAACATGTAGAAACTCATTACCATGCTTAAGATTATCCAAACCAGACTATAAGTTCGGTGCATTGCAACATACACATAAAAATTCTGGTATTTAGGCGCACTCTCACTCTCACCCTGGAGGGACTCATCCTGCTAGATGGTCCTAGTCGTTCAATTGAAATCCAATAAGCAAAAGTTTGAGCTTTCACTAGGTGGATAACAGACACCAGGAACTCCCTGTGAGCTTACTAGTGAGCATTACAGTTCAGTGTGAAATGGGTGTACTACCACCATCTTACTGTCGACAGCCTGTTTTGTGCACATCTTAGTGGTGGGCAACAGATTGGAAGAGACCTGGCAGCAGGCTATGTGACCACCCTCTTGAATCCTCCTCACAGCCAGGTGGTTATGGGGTATGATGTAGGAAGATGATAAAGAGAGAACAGATGCTGAACATAATGGCAGTTATCTTCTAATTATTATGTTATCATCACAACAAACTGATTTGACCCCAATGTATAATGATTATATGGATAATAAACAGACAGTGATTACACGGCTTTAATGTAATTGTAATGTTCAACTCGTGGTTGTAAACTATTGAACAGTTTTTTTTAATCTTTGTTCCCTTAATTAGATTAAAGCAGTTTTCATTCTTTAATGTTGAAATTGGTGGTGAATCTAGACACTTTCATTCTGCAAGAGGGAAAATCATTTTATCTTACAGCTAATGACTAGAGCATGTACTCTGAGTGGATAATACATTTTATTTCTTGTTGCAGCTGATATTATGTACAAGGGCACAATGGACTGCTGGAAGAAGATTGCAAAGGATGAAGGATCTAAAGCTTTCTTCAAAGGTGCTTTGTCCAATGTGATAAGAGGAATGGGCGGTGCTTTTGTACTTGTATTATATGATGAAATCAAGAAATATACTTAAGGTTCAAAAGACCACTGACGATTATTCAAAGTTAGAAACCTGTAATATATTGTAACAGAACACTGTTTTTAACAACTGACCTTGTGGAAACCTGTCGGTAGGTCTGAGTATAAGCAGTTGTAAGTTGGGGAGATACAACAGATAGGAAAATTATTTATATTTTAAGAGTCACTTTTTAGCTATGTCAGTCACATACACAATTCCTTAGCCTTTTCCAAGGAAATGACCTACTTTATAAACATGGTTATCAGTATTATTTTCAGGAGATGGAAGATGGAGATGAATTCTATATTTAAGACATGTGGTCCAGGTTATACAGATATGTATATTGTTGAGCATCGTCTCTTACCAAATCAAATGTATCTATTAAGACTGCTAATACATAGTTTCCAATAAAAAATCCTGTCTTGAATTAACCTGTTCTTTTTAGTTTATATGAATTCTAGACAGAATTTATACTGTTCACACTTGTCAGATATGTAGATCAATGGGGTGATGCAAGTAGAAATTTTGACAACAGGCAGGATTTCTCAACCTTTCAAATGGATTCTGGTGAAAAAGATAAGATTTTTTTTCTGCAAGCATCAAATACAAATTTATTTTTATTATAGTGCCTTTCACATCGGGAGCACTTCCCAAGGCATCAAACAATCCAGGGTTTGCACCCAAGATTGGGGTGGAGGCCATTGGGGCAAAGGGGTGAGGGGGAGGGGGGGGATGACCAAAAGAGTAGTCAAACTGGAAGATCTTGAAGGAGATGAAGGAAGGGGCAAGTTAAATAGATTCTGGTTTGGAAGTTCCAGCGAGTTGGGACATATGAGAGTTTGAATTAAAAAAAAGTTAAAGATTTAGTTATCAATGAAATATAAATTTAAAAAGTTTATTATTAAATTAAAATATTTGTCCAGCAAGCCTGATATAAATGTGCTACTTGTTTTGGCTAAACCACAATAATGACATGCTGCAGAGGTTATGGCCAGTCCTCCAGAAGAAGGTTTTGAAGAAATCCCATTTGAACTCAATACTGTTTCATTTTGGGAAGGTTAATATCAAAGAATCAGCCAGTACACAACTGGCATTTGCCTGATCCTGCAATGTTCAGGAGTTCCACAAGTTCCTGGTTGAAACGACAGCAAAAATCAATCACTTCAGTTCTGCACACTGCTCTCCCCAAGCTGCCAAATTGGCAGTGATCCCAAAACAACAACAACATCCAACCCGGAACATGCTCGTCCAGTGCTGACAGATATTCATCTGCATATTAGTGCAATTTTGCATATTGTTTCATATCATTCATCCAAATAATCCAACTGAACAAGTTACACTCCCATCAGTGTCAATCTTCACAAAATGAAGCAAAGTTTTGTGTTCATACATGCCAGTGCTAAGGTGTTATTTAATAGTGCCAGAACGGGCTCAGTGCTCTAAATCCTGCAAGCTGGAGCATTGAAGAAGCCTTTGCTGTTGGAGACAGAACTGTATACAGCACTCTAAATGTGGTCAAACCAAAGTTTTATTTAAATTTAACATTATTTTGTACTCTATTCCTCAACTTCACAGTGCCTTGAAAGCCATGGTTCTTGAACATCCTGCATTTTGAACCTCCTCAATGTCATGTCATTGCAGCAGAGAATGGATGTCATAGATGAATCAGTCAGTTATGGCTACTGAAAACAGACAATTTGGTGAGAGCCTGTCAGCAGTAATAGCGAGTAGAATATTGTTTTTTTGAAAACATAACATGAAATGAACAAATTAATCCAAGAGTCTCCTCTCCTATGGAATTTTGTTCATTCAAACGTCAAACAAATTGTCAACTTATGCCCAAAACCTAGTTCCAATTCAATGCATTTGGCAGCTAATACAATCTTTTGTGAAGCCATCCATTTTTGCTCTTTGGGTACCAATTCTTTTTTCCCCACAGGAAGGCTTCACCCACAAACATACAGTCAATTCACTTTACAGTCTATTCTGTGAAGCGCCTTGAGACATTGAGAAGACGTGGAAAGCGCTATATCAAATGCAAGGATTATTATTATTATATAACCCATTTTAACACCTCCCGAATTGTGGTCTTCACTTGGCATTACTTATTCCAATGTATCTTCCCCTTGAGTCCCTGATTTCCTGCAGAATAAAATGTGTTGGTTTTGCCATCAAGATGAATGAAATTCAAGGCCCTGACTCTGTGAGTTGGACAAGAATCAGCCTAGAAACGTATCCAAGGTCAAATCTCAATTTAATCAACATTTAGATTCACAGTTAGAAAATGTAAGAAAAAAAACAAATGGCATTCAACAGGAAAAAAGAACTTTCAGAGCCTTAAAAGTTAAATTGAAAATAATTTAAAACAGCAGATCAACATTACTAATTAAAAGATGGATAGACTAAAAATATTCTAACTAAGAGTAAAAATGGTGTGTTAAGGCCTGGGGTTCTTAGATTAAAAAGAATATTTTCTTTATTAAAAATAATGGTAGATAAGTTATTAAGATATGCTCAGTTATAAAGAATTGACCAAGTTATAAATCAAAATGTTTGAATACAAAATTTTGAATTGATGAATCAGCAGTCAATTACCACACAAAAATAACTAATATAACATTACATTACAACACCTACAAAATATCTCAATTTGAGATTCAAATGTTGTAAGAATGGAATGATAGATTTTAAAATAAAATACAATTTAACATGGTTTATTCATTCAAGAATATACAGCTGCAGAAAACAACGAACATGGACAATGGGAACAAGTTGAACACATGTGAACATTTATGACTGGTTTGCCAAGCCAGACTTAGGAGACTTAGCTGAAACTGCTGCATGTGAATTAGACATTGCTTGAAAGTTCTTACGGCTGGATGTTCTCGAACTTCCTCCTGAAATAAAAGACACAACATTAAAATATGGTGTTGAAACAGAACAAGTTTATTTTATCTATTTCGCACCTTTCCAAGACATGAAGTCTTGAAGCCTGACTGACACGATTGACACAAAACTCAGAGTCTCTAATCCAGTTGCTTGGGGGGAGGGTGCGAAAGAAAGTAATACAAAGTGAGGCATAAGGTAGTACTTACCCCTCCTGATTTGACGTTACCTTTATTAACTAAGTAGATAGTCTCTGCTCCGCACAGCCAATCAAAAATATCAATTTGCCATCTAATGGAATTCAAATAGCAAATGGCCCCTACGTTACACAACAGGTCTCCAAGTCAAAGGCTTAATGAGCCAATACAGTGCAGGAAACAATGTTGCTCCAATCATGCTTTCTCCTCCCTTTGAGTTGAATTCAAGAGTAATAAAGAAATCTCATGTGACATGCATAAAAATGGACATACAGCCATACAACAAATGCCCTTAATTTAACCCAGCAGTGCGTGGAGGATCATCGGAATGAAGATTAAAACATTTCTGGTGAGTGAAAAGTGGTAAATAGGCACAACAAAACAAGAAAATGACTATTAAAATGATTTGTTGAATAATAAGTATGTAAAACACTAACATTATATTCAACAACAACAACTTGCATTTATATAGCACCCTTCACACGGGGTAGCGTCCCGGAGAGCTTGGTTCTGTGAATATACTAACTTGATGTGCTCGCACGTCCCGAGACCTGGCCTCGCTGTGAGAAAGACAATGAACAAGACTCCATGAATGCTGTATGCCGGTAGTAATCCTTCAGCTGTTCAGAGCGCTTCAGCCCAACAGTTGGCTTCACCATCTCCAATCTCTTCAGTAAAGCCTGCAGTTTTCAGAGGAAGTGAAAAATTATGTTAAGTATAATGAGTGTCTTGCATCAATGGCATAGTTTTGTTGATGCTAAGGATCAACCAACATATTTTAAGATGGGATTCTGAAAACAACCAACCACAAAAATAAACTACTGTATTTGATCTTCTAATTTGCTCACGTCAAATTTCATGGAAAATTTGTGAGGGATTTGCAAGAATTTCACATTGTTGAAATGTGGTCTTCTACCAACAACATTACCCCACCTCTCTTTCTCCACCCTTAGGGACACAGAAATAGTGCCATAGGAAAGTATTTGATCACCTCAGTCTACACCTAAACTTGTATGGTTTTCAAACACATAATTATAAGTGAGTAAATCAGCCTATTTCTCGGTCTAAAAACAACAATATCAAAGAAAAGTCTGGCAAAAGTATTGGGAGTCAATTGTGGACTTGGATATTTCTCATGCCCCTTTATGGTAATTAATCGGGTAATGAGTGTCCTTGAAACATATCTCATTCATGTGCACCCACTGGCGTGCAGCCATGACCTTGCTCATTTATCTGCTTTCTCTTTGACTAATTACAGATTATGTATTAAAGTAAATATGTAATAATCAATGGGTCACAGAAATAAAACATCAAATTCTCTGTTGTAAGAAATATCCTGCTGCAAAGATTATTTTTAGCTTCTTTAGAACAAATACTGGAAGCTTGCTACAATAAGTTGAAGGACATTAAACAGTTATCATAAAAGAAATAGCATAAATGCTATGAGTCCTTCAACAGGATACAGAGGCTTTTCATATCCAAAATATCTCTGTAGTATTCAACATAATGTTATTCAGAGCCTAAAAAAATTATAAAAATTGGTTTTCTAATTGCAAATCAAAAATCAAAACCAGCAATGAACAGCTGGTACAGCACAGTTGACCAATCACAGAAGACACACAGTGTGTTAATATCAACACGTGTATTAGTCTATTATTTTATGAGAAAATTACAGCATTACAAAACATAGTCACTTACACAAAGTGCTTAAAAATCCACATAAATATGTGGATAGTTAATTCAGTAAACCAAAATGTTTTATAATACTTGCATTTGATATAGAGCCTTATCGCGTAAGCTAAATCTTGAACCCAAAATCAGAAGAATCTGCCATCAGATTGCATAACATATGAAAACGCTTCATAAAAAGGAAACCTTAATTTAGAGAAATTCATGAATGAACCTGAAGAAGGTTACTAACCCAAAAGGTACCAGATTTGTCACTATCTGAAAATACACCAGAATCTAAAAATTATTCAGGAATCTAATAATAATAATCCTTGCATTTGATATAGTGCTTTTCACATCGGGAGGACATCCCAAAGCGCTTCACAGAATATACTGTAAAGTGAATTGACTGTATATTTGTGGGCGAACGCGGCAGTCAATTGCACACAGCAATGTCCCACAGACAGTCGTAGATTGAAAATGACCAACTTATTATTGTTTTTGGAGGGATTATTATTAGGCGTGTGGAGTAAGGAAAGGTTTCGCTCTGCCTGGAATTGAACTCAGGTCTCTCGCTTGCAAAGCGAGTGCTCTAACCACTGAGCTACAGGACTCCACTGTATAATGACTATACAAGCAAGGGCTCTTCAGTATTGAAAGAAGACGACTTAGTGGGGACCCCATTGAAGTGTATAACATTTTAAATGCAATTGAAAAACTAAACCCAGATCAATACTTTAGGATATATCATGACAGTAGAACAAGAGAACTTGGATTTAAGTTATAAAGGTAATTTCAGGGCAGATACAACCTGTTCCAATCATTGATTACCCTACTCATAAAGAAAACTTTATTCAATGATTGGAACAGATGGCCAGGATAGGTGATAGAAGCTAGGGATCTAGACTCATTTAAAAAGCAGCTCCGTGATGGGAGGAATGATAGGGAGGGTGGTCTGGAGGGATGAGATCAGATGGGCCGAATGGTCTTCTAAGTCCAGACCAATCTTGGGATCTTGTGAGAAAGTACATCATGATTGCATTGCAGCCCCTGAATCACTGAGGCTACTTGGATGTACAATACTTTGTTTTGTTAAAAATTGATATATCACTTGTGATGATGCACTTTCTAACTAAGGAAAATATAAATAAAAAAGAAACAGATTCAGAATCATTGCAGCCAAAGTATGAGTCAGAAGTCGTCTACTCTCAATACCGAAGAGTCCTAGCTTTAATAATCATTACATAGTGAGGCTCTTTCTAGGCAATGGCAGAACATTACTAGCCAGGTCAACTCCACAAGTCCACTGGTGCATTCTGATTCCACTCAATGTGTCCAAATCACAGGGGTTTAAATAATTGCAAAGGTTAATTACAACAAAATTACATTTGCAAATTATATTTTGTAAATTTTGTAAATTGGTCATTCACCCCATAGCTGTTTGTGGGACGTTGTGTATCAAATGCAAGGATTATTATTAAATAACCTAGAAACATTATTCATAAAACCAAAACGCTTAATATTTTACCCAAATGTTTACATAAGGTAGGGTAAATTTATTGTAGGTTTCAGCACAGGGATTATTTCAAAATAAGGAAAATCCAAGGTTCGATAAATGGTAACTTGAAGAGTTCATTGATGGGCAGCAGGACTAGAGGGCACAGGTTCAGAGTTGTTTTCACACTTAAAGAATTTGCCTAAGCAATATTTGCTGGTCAAACATGAATATATAAGCTTTGACAAACAAATAAACAAATGTAAGGAATTAAAAGACAATAATCTTGCTAAATCAGACTGAAATGAGAGTAAATATGTTCTCATGTATTAAATGGGCAATATTGAGCTGAAATAGTAGAGCAAGCATGCCACTTTATAAATCATTGGTACAAGCCATACTTGGAATACTGTGTACAGTTCTAGTCGTACAGTAGAAAAAGGATATTGCAGCGATTGAGAGGATACAGAGGAGGGCAACCAGAATGACTGAAGGATGGCGCGACTGCATACAATCTGCAGAAACACCATTTCAGTGATAGTGGTAAATCTATGGAACAGCCTCCAGAGGGAGATGGTGGAAGCAGATAGTGTCAATTTATTCAAATGCAATTTAGAGGGATTTTATAAAATAATATTTGGGGTTACAGTACATGAGTAATTTGAGACATGACATATAGTAAGTGTAGTAGGCTTGGAAGAACTATGCAACTTTCGAACTAAGGTTCCCAAAGCTTTCCAGTTTATTGGTAGGGTAGGCTAATACACACAGAACTAATTGTTATCCACATCTCCATTATTGTAGCATGCGACAACCAGGATGGTAGAAGACAGACTAGATGGACCTTGGTCTTTTTTTGTCTAGCAATTGCTATGTTCCTATGACAAAAATGTAATGAACTGAATGCCTATCAAGTTTTTATAGCATGCATATGTTTTTGACAAGCTTGAACATTTCAACTTTTCTAATTTAACTTCATTCTAGTCATTTCCAAACAATGAAAATTCACAACTGAAATTTAAAACTAGAAATACATTTTGGTGGTAACTTTTTGAACTCAGCAGCAGTTAGCACACTAAATGTTAAAAACGCATTGCATTTGAGAGTGCATGTCACATGCGTTGAGATGTGCTGCCAGTTTTTCAAGCGTCAAATGGAAATAACTAGCTAAGCACAAGCCAAAGGAAGCACTGTTGCCTGAAATAGCCTATGGATGGAGTTATTGCGTTCCAGAACATGAAATCCTAGACCTGGCTGAAAATGTGACATACTTCCATAGTAATTTTTGGAGACTAGTACATGCATTATAGTTGACCGAATCACAAACTGAAGTGGCTGCATGAATGTGTAAGATGTGTGCTTTTGTTCCTACAATAAAACTTTATAATTCATAACCTGTAAATTAAGTGTCAGTTTGATTCAGTGGTAGCACTCTCGCCTCGGAGTCAGAAGGTTGTGGGTTCAAGCCCCACGTCGGGAGTTGGAATCACATGGTCTAATCTGACACTCCTGTGTGGTGCTGGGGGTGTGCTGCATTGTCGGAGGTGCCATCCTTCGGATGAGACGTTAAGATGAAATCCTGACTGCCTGATCAGGTGGACGTTAAAGATCCCATGGCACTGTTCGAAAAGAGAAGTTTCTCCCAGTGTCCTGACCAACAATCCCCCAAATAAAATTGGTCATTCATTCCATGGCTATTTGTGGGACATTGTTGTATGCAACTGGATGCCGTGTTTCGCCCACAAAATACACCACGTTACAGCATATCCTGTGAGCGCTTTGTGATGTCTCGATGACGTGATAAGGCGTTGTATAAAAATGGAAGGATTATTATAATTATTATTATGAAAAGTACTGTGTATCAAATGCAAAGATTATTATTAAATAGCTTAAAAACAGCATTATCCATGAAACCAAAACACTTAATATTTTACCCAAATGTTTACATAAGGTAGTGTAAATTTATTGTAGGTTTCAGCACCGGGACTATTTCAAAATAAGGAAAATCCAAGGCTCGATAAATGGTCACTTTGAAGAGTTCATTGATGCTGAGCTGGGCAGCAGGACTACAGGGCACAGGTTCAAAGATGTGAAGAATAATTTTAGGATAAACAACCGAAAGTATTTATTTGCCACACAACTTAAATAGCTACTGGAAGTGCATATCAGAAAAGGTAGAGCCAGGCACATGAGAAACATTTAAGGAACAATGGAGCAATACTGAATGAGCCAAAGGCCCCTTCTACAAAGCTTGTGATACTGTACTAAGAAAAGCTCATTCTAAATTGGGAAATGGTAAACCCATTTGGGGAAAATAGGGAATTTAAGGATAGTAGCCCAAAGACATTAGATTATGGGAAGATAATACTGACGGCTTTAAATTAACCTTGAAGGATGTACATTTCTAAAAATGAACTGACTGTACTGTTTGTACCCAGCACACATTTTCTAACTAAACACCTTCAGTTTTATTTTAGGCAACTGCTTGGATTACATTATGACGACACATCAGTTGCA